TTTTTGCAGTCTCCTGATAGTCTATCATCACTGTTTGTTACTCAGCCTCGAGGCTGGTGTTGGCTGTGATTGATTCCTCTGGGAACTCTACCATTTGACTAAAATGTATTGATTCTAGATGGTTTGGTGTCATGATCATCTTTTCTGCAGCAACAATAACCTTTGTTTACAGAGGGCAACATGACAGGCTATGGGTTACATGGACGGTGCATTCAAATTATTTTTGGAGTTCGGACCAATATTCTCAACAATTCCTCCAAATTTAATGACATAGTTGTTTGCACGTACCCTCTAGAACGACACATTGAAGCTTTTTCTGATCTGACGACTTTCTTGTCTGTGTGCTCCAAAATGGGGACAAATCACTGCTGAAAATGGTTTAGTCGCAAAAACAAATTGGTTATAGGGTCAGATCATATTTTGGGTTAAAATAAGTACTTTGTTTAAGTTAGGGGAGCTTTGTTTTGATGGTTACAATAATAAACGCATGGTTATGGTTAGGGAACAATCATGGTCATCTTCGTAGCAAAGTAAGAATATTCTAAAGGTGACCATAAGATTTGACTCACAAACTTATTGTTAAACTGGGGATTTGACTGGTGTGACTGCTCTTGTTACTTGCCCTTTTGGGCTTCAGTGGAAAAAGTTGATGATTAAAATATTATCTTGAGAAAGAGGAACTCAAACCGGAAAGAAATACAAAAATATAACCTGATATAACCCTTTTCATTCAATGCCTAAATACAAGAGCAGTATCAATTTTCAGATTTCCTCCAGTCACTTGCTTTGAATTGTTGCTCCACAAAACATATCCCTCAGCTCCTGTATTCTGCGAATATGAACACTTAATTGTCAAGACTTTGTTTACTTCAACATGTTCCACGTTTCATTTTCTACCTCCTGGCTACTCATTGTTTCTCTCTCTCATCCTCCAAATGTTTTCCATGCCTGCAGCTCTCAGAGACATCTGCCCTTGCCAGCCACAGCTTCAGCGTGTTTTCATTTCCTTTATTGTTACGTTTTGTCATATCCGTAGGGGACATTACACAAGGCGTAGTATCAAAAATCCATTAAAAACATCATTTGATAGGCTTTTTATTCTAATAAAGCAATTCTAGTGTCTTAACTGCAGCAAATATTCAGTAACCAGTATTTATTGACACATTGCATCTTTTTAGCTTTGTGTATTGTTTTCATTTTGTTCTCAACGGTGTCAAAGCTTATGCTTGTGTCAGAGAGACAGTTGCACACTTCATGTTTGCTGTGTGATTTGGCAGAAGTTGGGGTGTTTGGGATGCTCTCCTGATCCCCATCCTCCGTCCTGCTTCGATCCGTGGCAATGTTTATGTGTGAGAGGGATGACAGCAGCTTTCTGTAAGCTGGACTGTGTGAGCGGTGCTTTCTAAGAGCTTTGTGCTTTAGTATAGGTGTTGTTGTGGAGAAGTTTACGGCTGGGTTTTTATTTGTGTCTTGTGTGTTAAGACTTTTTAAAAACACATGCTGTATCGACTCCGCTGCCCAGTAACAATTGACAGGAGACGTATTTTTCTAGTATGCACAGGAGACCAACTAACCAAGTGCAGACTTTTGCAGTGTTTGCCTGAATATATGACACTGGCACTCTTGCATGAATGACACTAAAGATAAGATAAAAACACCTGGCAGGTGTGGCACAGACTGAGCAATGCTTCATTCTTCACACTGAGTAAGTTACTTGCTGCATCAGACAGTGTGTGCTTTAGTAAAGCACTTAAATGTCTCTGAGATGCTTGAATGTCTTTAAAGCAGAAAGCTTCACCCATGAACATGAATTTCTTTTATTGTGAGTCTTAATACATCCTCTTTGATTGAGTTCTAAATTAGTTTATCAAAAGAAAATCTCTCACAGACACGCTGATGTTCACTCTTTTTTCCATTAAAGTACTCAGTGTCAATAATTAAAAGAGAAACAGACTAATTTGAAAAATCCTATGTACAAAGCGAGACACTTCATTTGCTCTCTTGATGATGGTTATCAAGTGTTTAGATGTTGCTGATGTATTGATCTCTACACGTTTTCCTTTTTCCCATGTTATAGCCGAGGGTGAAATCCAATTCAATACCAGGCTATTTTAACACCCTGTGGAGGTGAACAGCTTATGCAAACAGGCTCACTGAACCAGATGTATGCAGAGGTGTAGGTAGAAAAGCAATGTTTCAGTTCGTATTGATCATTCCTCCACAGTTGCAACTGCACAGTGGGGTGTATGTTTGTATATTTGTCTTCAGCGAGGTGACAGGAGTGAACAAACTGCAAATAAGCTTAAATTTCTGAATTATTTTAACAAGATCAAGGCCGCCTCAGAATATCTCGTCTTAGTCGCAGCCATCTGGGTTCACTTTGCCATTGTTACTTAATTTGTTTACTCCTTTATGTTCAGACAATTCATATTTAAATCGTTTATCTGTGCTTTTCCTCCACCTGAAAGCATGCTGTATCGGAGATGATTATCCCATTTCTCTCATCAAGACATTGTGATTACAGTTGTGGTTGACTCAATTATGTTCATTTCCATTTTGTCCTTAGCAGAATAGGTAAATTAAGATAACTGGACTGGCTGATTAGTCCCACCTCCCACTTTTAATTAGGATTAGTTCCCCCATCAGATATATTATTGATGCTGGTGATGGTGATAATGGCTCTGCTGACTTAAATTAGGCCTAGTGTGTGATTGTTTTATGAAAAAAATGCAACAGCAGTTAATGATTTAATGGAATATGAATTCATTCAAATGCATTATGGGGATGGGATCCTGGATTGGAAGTTAGGGGTAAGGGTTCATCTATTTAAATGTAAACCTAGGTTATTTTACTGTAAACGTTACTGTCAGTGACTCATTTTCTTGACTCACATAGATTGTCAGAATGTCAGAAAATGTCTCAGTTTTCGCTGCAGGAATCTACTCTGAGAATATCCACTTGTGATCGATTGAATTGGCCAGTTTGAAGCTAGACCATTCAACAAACTTTGTCCGCAGATGCTTATTTCATCACCTCTCTCAGTCTAGGTGATGTGGCTTGCCACCTCCTAAAACTTTTAAACTTTGTCTTTGCCTGGTAACTGTAAATGCTGAAGTGAGAGCTGCTAAAATGGCCAGGTCTCAATTGATTGCTGGGGTATAAAGGAAGGGGGGAAAAAAAACATTGAGTTTCTTCTTCAAAGCATGAACAATTTGTTGTTCTATAGGTTTGTTTATTGTTGGAAAAAAGTACTTTCTAACTTCCCTACCCTGTCTGCTGCATGCCCTTACAGAAGACATAAATCTTTAAAAAGAAAAAAATGTTTTTTTTAAAGGCAATCAAATTTCCTAAAACAGCTGGGAACTGTAGTTTTTAGTAAATATTACAAACAGGAGTAGTTTGTATTTGTTCAGAACTATTTTCAGCTGCACACATTTGGTGCACTAGTTTATGTTAGCTGGTGTATGTGGAATCAACGCTACAATATCTATATTCATCTTAATGGGGAACGTGAAACTGTTGCTCATTTATGTGTTTTACATAGTTTCTGGACAACAGTGGAGCTCAATGGTGCAAGGGAATAAGCTATATCAGGCTTTGGCTACATGGGAAATTAGTAGGATCTCTTCATTGGTGGTTTAAGCCTTTTCATAACATCTATTGACAATAAGGAAAACATAGAATATTGTAAGCTGCTAATGAAAGTCAGTACTTCATGCAGTGTTTGATTAACACTTTGCCTCTCTGGGCATTTTCACTACTCCTTGGGTGATCAGCTTGAATATAGGTAGAGAGGTAGAAATGTGTATACCAGTTGGCTTTTCAGCTGTCTTAATGAGCAGCAAACAGATGACTAAATAAAAATATTATGAATTCCACACGTGTTTTTTAGAAAGATAATATAAGATACAGTAATTAAATGTGATCCTTTCTGAATAAATACATAAATACTGGTAGTTGTAAATAATAGAATTTCAAGATGTCTTAGTTAAAGTTTTCTTTGGGATCCGGGGGTGAGATGCTCGTCAGCACCCATAGATTTGATCCACTTTCAGGTTGAATTTTTGTTGTGGGTGTGTGTGTCTGTGTGTGTGTGTCTAAAATGATGCATTAAACATCAAGAAGACTGCTGGCTTAAATATACTGATAAAAACAGGATATTTTCAAAACAAAGGCTCTAATATAGCCGATAAAATCCTGTTGCTTCAGTTTACATTAATGAAATGAAAATTATACTATGGCTGTTAAATTATCTATATGTATTTATTTATGTTTGAGATATGATCTAAATATAGCATGCATTCTCAAATCATTTAACTCCACAAGTGTAAATATGTTTTTGTTATGCTTTGTCCTTATTTGCTTGCTTTTTTCTATTTAAATAAATCCAATGTTCCATGTGTATTTCCAACCAATCATATGGGCCCACACACATTTTCAATTTATTATTCAAGCTCAAGGACGGAATTGTCATGGTGGCTTAGTACTGGCATTACCCTACAGTTAAAATGGCTGTCTGAGTTTCCATTAACCTACACAATAGAACCGCCCTGCTAATTTTCACAGCTCCACTTTAGCAATAATTGATATTCATGATGTGTGTTCCTGCAGCTGCCAGTTAAATTCAGTGTACACAGACTCAGGGCTGGTGGGTGGTTTAATCTGCTTTGGGATGTGTTTCATATTTAAGTCAACAAATCTGTCAAATCCAAGCCGAATGCAAACTATAATAGTGTTTTAAATGGGGTACATGAGATGTGATTCACTGTATACCATATTGACAAATAAAGAGGCCATTAATTGTTGTAGGATGGGTCGTTTCAGCCAGGCGTTTATAAGTGCATTCAGCTGTGGATAAAGCTTGGCTACCTGTGCTTTTTGGGAAATGGAATATCTCACATTATTGGTTCTTGTAGTGTTTTTTTCTTCTGTTATCAGTAAAAAATTGATACACCAGCGGTTTCATTATTAATTTAGATATGTGTTGTCTCTTTTTACAGCTCACAATAGGAGGATATAGCTTGGCAGCTTACAGGTAGGTCAACAATCATCAACTGACAGCAAAAGTGATAATAGAATTGAAGCTTAGATATTGTCACCCACCCAGAGGAAAAAAAAACAGTCTGTTTTATTGCCACTCAGTGTATGGAGAGCTGCCATGTGATGGGAGCGCTCCAGGTCACTTCCTGTTGTGTTTGAGGTGGCTGTGACTGGTATTTGTTGAGATTATTGCCTCTGCATGTTGTCAGCATCAGAGGCAGCCAGCAGCATGCAGCCCTTTAAACCCTGCTGTCTTTATACAGACTCTGTGCTTCTGCACTGAAATTACCTTGACAAAGATGTGAGGTTTTAGAGGTTTTGGTGTACTGCCTTTTAATTATAGACCTTTTCAGTGGTTAATTAGGGAGGAAACATGGTCTAACCCTTTATGCACTGCATTTGTCTGAGGATAGAAGGCTTTCTGTGCCTTTTATCACGTTTTGTTTCTGCCTGAGTTGGTTTTTGTATTCAAGCCATGAATTTAAACACACTGAACCACAACTTTTGCCAAGATACTTTTGCCAAGTCAATGAAGTGCGTTAAAACCCCCAAGCTTCTTTCATCTTTCTTCATCAAGTGGCAGTTCTTACTTGCAGTGCAGCTGAACTCCTGTGATCCCCTGAGAACATCTCATGTCTGGATTCGTTCAGAATACTGCTCTTTGTATTTCTCAGTTTGGTCATTTTGAGTTTTTACACTTTCAGCTAGAGGAATTAAAGATGGGGTTAGGGATTGTAGGTAATGCTATTGTAATCCAATACACTTTATCTAAAATTCTGCGAATATCTTCTCACGGCCCGCTAGCTTTCCACTCTGTTTGTGCGTTGATAAAAAATGGGAAGCAAACAAAAGGGTTCGGAACAAGTTACACAACGTTGAGCCTTTCCAGTCAGGATTTGTACGTCAGATAATGATAAATGACTTTCCCACAGACGTTCACTTTGCTTTCTTATTTGTCAAGATATGCTCTTGTGATGTTAGCTATAGTATCAGAGTTGTGTATAGCTGTCTGGAGCTGGTGTGCTGGCACTGGGGAACCATCTCGTCCTCTCTGCATGTTTGCTTGTAGCTTCCAACATAGCTGACATTATTTTTATTTAGCCTTTATCTAACCAGGTTAAAATCAGTTGAGATACCAGATCTTTTTTTCAGCGGTGACCTGGGTAAGAAGGAAGTCAATTACGTACATTAAAAATAGTATGGGATAAGAGTTGATATACACACATCAACCACAGGAGTTAAATTAACACAGAAACTAAATGACAAAATTCATTATGCATTGTAGCTACATTTTGTAATAGAAGTTAGTTTAGTTTAAAACTGGTTACTTACTGTGTCACTATTTGCACTATATCATGGTATTTGTCGTGGTAATGGAATGTATTGTAGCTATTGTCAGATCCTTTGTTAAACTTCGAAACAAAATATTTTATAATATACATTTTATTGACTGCAGAAGAAACATTTTGTTGCTAAAAAGTGAAAGAAAAGCTGAGATAGATTTGTTTGAAATGAGACTGTGGTGTTTGATTTGTATCTATTGATTGATCTGAGTTGATGTATTTTGTGTTTGTTTGTATTCAAGCAGTAAGGAAACACTAGGTATCATCATCAAGTCCATGTAAGCCACTTGTTAATGTGTATGACACATGGGTAAAGACATTGTCATATAAACTGTCAGTCGTGTACTGTACTGTATGCAGAGCTTTGACAACTTTTCAAGTTACACATTATTTCCAATGCTACAGTTGACTGCCTCTATCCTTGCGTTATCGACAGTCAGGGTTGTGCAAGCTACTTCAGTAAACAACAAAGCAATCTGTATTGGTTGCCTGTGTACTTCAGAATGAATAATTCATGACTGGGCCAACTGTCGGCTCGGGTTTCAAAGTGCAGAAACTGTATCCTGTGAAGAATGCCAAGGCTTGGTCTTTTTCATAAAACTGTCATGCTTAACAAGGTGGAGAATACCCTTCACTGAATGCAGGATCTGCCTTCAAAATCACTTCACCACTGACCACACAGAAAATCACACCTAAACCAGCCAGAACCTTTAAAAATCACTGTGTATTCTTAAAAGGACCACTGTGTAGGATTAATGGTGGCATCTAGTGGTGAAGGTGCATATTGCAAACAACTGAATACCACTCGCCTTCCAAGCATCTAGAGTCTAGAGTCAGTGTTTATTCTGGGCTACTGTAGAAACATGGTGGTTCAAAATGGTGGACTTCATAGAAGAGGACCCGTTTCCTCTGTAGATAAAATGGCCTCATTCTAAAGTAACCAAAACACAGCGGTTCTTATTTTCAGATGATAATACGCTAATGAAAACATATATATCAATATTATATTCCATTTCTGCCAATAGATCCTCCTAGCTGAATATTATAATTAGATCTTAGATAATTAGGGATTGCAGTTGAAACTTCTTTCAACACTGTACTATTTGAACAAATGCAGATACAGCTGTTTTGGACAATAAACCTTTGATCTATCAACAATATTTGTCTTCTCTTGTGTTTACTAATATCATATATTTCATATGGTGCACATCATTTAATCATACATTGTCTGAATTCTTTATAATCAAATTGAGTCCACAGTGCAGCCCAGATGCCTGAAACCTTTAACTAGTCACATTCTCTTTAAGGACAAACATAGAAGTGAGTTAACATGAGAAAAGAAATCTATTGTGCTGATGTGTTAAACTGTCAAAAAATCAATGTCAAAACCAATGTTGCAATTTGTCAAGATAGCGTTGAGGTAATATCTTTCAGCCCTGCCTTACAAACAGTCAATATTTGTTTGTTTTGAACAAACATAATGCCATTATCTTACAGAAAGAAATTAAAATATTATGCAGAAAATAGGCAGTCATGAAAGTACTTCAGTTTGCAATATGTTCTGCCTTACTGAAAACCCCTTTCAGAAATGAAAGATGAGGCCAAAAGGCTTGCAAACATTTATGTCAGGTGGGTTGGGAATTAAATATTGACTGATGTATACATTGGTGGTAGACTCTGCAGAGGAAGCAGCTATTTCACTTTGTGGTCTTCTCTTGAGAGGTCCAGTGCACAGGGTTATGGCTCTAATAATACAGTACATCAAACACTTCATTTTCACATTATAACACATTGTATTTGCTTACTGTTGTTTGTGTTCTTCCTCGTCCTCTGTGTCACTTTTGCCAATAGTTGGTTGGCTCTGACCCCGGCTGTGAGGGAGTCAAGTTTTCTGAACCTTGGGCCAAGATATGATGCAGTAAGCAGTGGTAGCAGAGGGCCTAGCAGCTCATAGTCTGAAATGATAGATGAGCCTGTCAAGAAGGGTGTGTTGCATGTTCTGGGCTGCATTTGTCAGTGCAAGGTGACCTTCATTGTCTGTATTTTCAGGTACTCTGGAATCTCAGTTATAACAGGCAACACACAGCTAAATGTGGCACCACTGTCTGATTGAAGAAGCACACAAGCCAATAGAAATTGCTTTAACAGAATGTAACCCAAATGTGATTTTTATTGTCACGTTGTCACTTTCTTCACTGTGCAGAAGACAATATTCTGTTGTGTGAATAATTCATGTTCACAAATGCCATTAAAACAGTTGATGCCAGTTCACTTTTTGCAAATGTCTCTCAGAAAGTCTTGTCACTCAATGATGTGTCCTCAACTCAAAATAAACACAACTCTCTGACACATTTTTTGGCAGCATTATTGTGAACATAGTGTGCTACTGGTTTAAAACTCAAAGAACTCAAAGTACGATTTGTCCTTTGCTGTTTGTAAACACACGATTCAAAGTTTGCTCCCCCTCCTCAGTGGTCAAGCAAGCTAGAGAGTGAATGATAAGAGGGGGTGGCATTAGCAAGAACAAAGCCGTGAATCAGAGAAATAAAATGTTATTTTCTGATTTTTTTCATGGTGGTTACATTCTGAAGCACAAATAAACTTGGCCACAACTCTGCACAACTCTGTGGAAAGGAGCCATGTTGCTGGATTTTGTGCGAATGCAGCCAACGCTCTTGTTCAGACGGACACACAGACATCCATGACACAGAAAGAGAGCATAATTGCTAACACATCCCGAATGCAGCAAAATAATAAGAAAATACATGGTCTCTGCAGATACATGCACTGCTACATACTTCTAGTGAGTCATAAGGGAGGATTGAAAGGGGTTATTTTTGTCCATACATTGTTTTCTAGGAAAATCCTACCCAGGATGCCTTTAAATCATCTTCCTCAAATTCTGTATTTAATTCTTCTTCCAGGCAATTTGTGGTGCTCTAATAGCTGCCACTAGAGTGATTGACTCTTCCTGGTCAGGTTATGCATAGTGGCATGTAAATGAAAGGTATCTATCTATCTTCTGCCTTCACCACAAGGTTGTATTCATTATTTTCAACATTTTATTTCTACATAGCAGCTGGTAGCCTTGGGCAATGGTTGGGATCAGTTTATTGAATCATTGTCTCTTGACAGAATTCATTTGTAAACCATTCACATACTTTAGCAACCACAATTTTGACCTGTGATGCCTCATAATGTGTCCGACAATGGCGTGAGCATTTCTTTGATCCAATAATGTTGATGTGTGAAGAGACCATTGTATTAGATATTCTGAATCTATAGCTTTTTTTTTTTACCGACACAATGTGAGCGCAATATAGTGCTTACAAAGTATCCAAAATAAATGTAAAGAAGTAAAATCTTGTTACACTTTCCTTGACAGAGCTTTTACCCTAATGTAGTGCAATCATTTGCTACTAAGTAGCTTGTTGACTCATTGACTCTTTTCAGTGCATACAATGAACAAGTCATTATATTTCCCATTCATGCTGTGGTGCTCTCTGTATTATAACTAATGTGGCTGTGTACTCAACTTATCTACAGCCAGCACTGAAGTAGCTGCAGGGTAAGCGCAGTCTGGTTGTTACAAATCTTGGTTGTGCTGTGACTCAGCAAAGGGTGATTAGAAATGTTCAGACAAGATGAAATA